CTTTAGACGATAACAGCGTAGTCGATCTTGATACATTTTGGCCGCATTCTGTTGCAGCTGTTGGCCGCGCTATGCCATCTCGTAAATTACACATGCTGCAGCAGTTCGCATGCACCTAGGTATACATTTAGTGGTCATGACAAATATTTGCCGTTTAAACACGAACATTATAAGAGGGACAACACAAACGCCGGAAAGTGACACCAACCCCGCTTTGTGTACCACTTTATCCAGCGATAAGCAAAGAATATAAGGAATACCCGGACAACGCTTTTTACTTCAGTTTCTGTAACCATGCTCGTACTTAACTAGGCGGACATTTTTTATTACGTCCAGAAGCAGGGCTTCTTAAAAACGAGAGAAACCTACATCTCGTCTATGCGTAACCTAAAACATAAGTTTAAAATTTGCTGGCGACGAAGAATATTCTTACGGTCTCACAGAGACCTGTGAGACCTGTAATCAGTGTCCATAATCAGCTGTTATATATTATCATAAGTGACATCCCCGAATAGGATGGTCGTGAAGGGCGGCAATGATGATATTAGACCAAGCATTGATATTTTGTCGCAAGACTGCTCAGCGTGTAAGAAATCAGAAACTGGCAGGCGTAACACCAGGAGGCAGTGGGGTGGATGAGAAACAGCAGGGGTAGCTGATAATTTATTAGAAAGGCCGATTCGCACAAGAGGTGTCAAGACTGAAGGCAGTGCGGGGACTTCTCTTTTGTGTTTATTTTTTCACTTTGCTTGTTTCCTGTTTTTAATCGTTTCTATTCTTGGCTGTTATACCTCCTATTATCTCTATTCATTTCAATTTTAGCTATCTTTCTCTGTCTATCTCGCACTTGCTTCCTCTTTATTACTATCTTATAAGTAGTTTCGCCTTCGTTATGTCAAGCGACGAGAGCATACGACAGCTCAGGCCCCTCAAGTCTTCCTCACGGAATATCATCAAGGTGCTACAAGAGCATGAGGAATAACAATTCTCCTTGGCGGGAGCGAGCGCTCATTCTGCGACGGTTGCCTATACTGTTCGCAGCTTTGTCTGCGTTGCACCAGCATACGACAAGAAACAGCAACTCGCTCCTTTACGTGCCCCTCAACGGAAGTGAGACGGCCCCCGCTACGCCACTGATTACCAAAGAGAGAGAAGACCACTCAACCCCTTGTCTATCCGTAGGAACACGGCATATTGAGACATTGCGCAGTTTTATAATTGATAACTTTCATCATTTATGTCGTCATGTGTTTTATATGCATACCCTTGTATTGTTACAGTTACTTTCTTTATAAGCCTGCCCTGTGTCGAATTCGCAAATGTCCAAATCATGTGTTTAATTTGTGTAGTTGTTGATGTACGCGGTATACGATGTTTTAAGTTATTAAGAATTAAATGAATCAGTAAACAGGAACATGTCGTAGCGTCTCTTACTTCCCGGCCCCAGCACGAATTCCTGTATGTGGGAAGTGATTGAGACGCATAGCCAAGAGGAAAACGGACAGACAAAGGGTTAAGTGGTCTTCCCTCTCTTTGGTAATCAGTGGCGTAGCGGGAGACGTCTCAAGTCCCTTTTTGTAGGACCCGACTCCGCCCTACCGGGGCACCAAACCAATCGCCACTATCGACGCGGCATATTTTCTTGTCATCGGAGGTATCATCTTCGACCGGCCGCCCCCGCGGCCCGCACCAGTGGAAAACCCTCTCCCAAGCAAGCCGAGCAAGTAACAATGTTCAAACTCAAGCCTCAGGGAGAGAGATGGGGCGAGCCGTCCGAAGACACTTTAATTACGGGCGAACAATGGCCCCGATGCTTCCGGTACTTTGATGAGCCGATGTCCAGACCAGTCTCAACGTTTCCATGCAGCTCTGTGTCTCCCGCGGAAATTCTCCGTAGGCCGCCGCTATTCGTCATTCAACGCCGCGGGTGGCCATCCGCCCCAGAACGCAATAATGAGCCCTGGAGCCTGGAGGGCTGACAGAAGTCAGACCGGACCCGGCACAGGTGCTGCGGCAGGGTCGCATTCCCCGAACCAACAAAAGGTGGTCTGTTGCTCCCCCATGCCACAAATCTGAAGGGTGCGCGCGGATTACCGTCCACCGTACACTGTCACACTGTCTGTAGACGACAAGGCGCCGTCCGTCCTCGCGTTTGCGCGGGGGGGGGGGGGGGGCACGAAAATAGTAGAAATAATCCTTCCAGGTACTCCACTCCGGAATGCCCATTCGTTACACCGAAGCTTTTTTTTTCCTTTTTATGCGTGGGTTCAAGAAACGATCGAAAACATCTTGAAAGGACCGGGTTCAGTCCGTGTTTGCGGGGACGTCACAGGAGCCCAAATTCGTCTCGGCAGGACAGTTCAGCATAGGACAGACGTTCGTTCACATGCAGCAAGACTGGTAACAAGGGAGGAGAAGATGCGATTGAGTGCGGACAGAATTTCGCAGAGCTGACAAAATTGAAGAAATTGGTCACAGAAAATAATATAAACTGCCCTCCCCCACATACCCATAAAGAAATGACCACCCATGCACTCAGGACAGATGGCTAACCAAAGAAGCTGAAACGTGTGCCACAGCGCTTGGGAACGTCGCAGACGAAACCAAAGTGCAGAGTGATCTTCAGTCGTACTGCTGTAAATTTTAGTTAAATACCGGAAGTTATGAGGAACCCTTCCATGAGGAACCATCCCAGGGTCACATTACAGGAAGAATTTTTTTCGAATTGCTTATTGGTTAATATTATTGGGATCAACGGATTTGCGGCTGAAGTGGCCGGCACTCGTTTTTACGACAAACCTAAGCAGTAAACTTTGCAACGTAGCTGACAATAGATAAGAAAAGGTGGTTAGCGTCAAGTCGCAAATGCAGCGGAGAATAAATGAGCTATGGTGGAGGTAAATTGGACAGCAAAGAATGGAATAAAAACAGTCAGATTTTATGACTATTCAGACGAAAGGTATCCACTCTGAGGGGGGTGAATGAGTGTGCCTTAGATTGCGAAGCTATAACGAGAAATTTTCACGTGAAATCTATTCGTGCTTTAAAATGCGCAGAAATTATGAGAAAGTATACGATAATTGTCACAGAACGAGCGCTAAAAATGGGCGTGCCGCCAAATTCTTGCGATAACGCGCGGGAGAGACACCGCGAGGTCAAAAGAAAAAAAGGAAAACAAAAATACAAGGCTCCCCGGGCGCGCGCTCTCTCTCGGAAGCGTGGCTTCGCCACGAACCTCCTCACCCCACATCAGCGGCCGAGCAAGCACTCGAAATTTCTAGAAGGAGAGAGGCGGGTCAGCCGAGTTGAGTCATCCGACGCGGAGGGCATTCGAACCATCTCGCCCTCTCCCCAGCCTTCGCTGCGTATCGCGCCGACGAAATGACGAGAACCTTCTGGAATCTCGCGCGGAAGGTATTTATCGAGCGGCCGAGACAGAGAAGCAGGAGAAGACGGAGTTAGCGCCAGAGCGCGTAGGATTCCGCCGTGTAGTCGGCGAAGGTTTTGTCCGTGGAGACAAAGCAGGAGAAGATGATTTCCACCAGAGGGGTGACGAACTCGAGCTACAGGCAAGAGTGTGTGTGTTTACCGCTATCGAGCGAAGACCGCGTGGCAACAGCTGCGTGGTGTGAAGCCGGCGTGTTTCCGGCGAAGAAGTTTGAAGCTTGGAGAGTGGCCAATTGAAGACGCGAGGTTTCCTGGAAAGAAACTTCGAGGGCAGCGGAACGGCAACAACGCTGGACTTTGAGTGAGTGTTTCTCGGAAGAGTATCATCCAGACTTTTGTTCCAAGAACTTGGACTGAATAGGTTTCCTATCTCTTTAGTCTTTAAGTGTCTTGGTTGTTCAGTGCATGCGACTGCATTGTAGTGCGTATTGTTGTCTGTGTCCGTTGTTTCGAGTGTGGCTGATTGTACTGTGTAGTACGTTGTTTGTTGGTGATATATTGTACTCAACTATTGTGGAGAGTGCATACTTGTGTGTTGTTTTGATCTGCAATTATTGAAAATATAATTTCGTTTGTTTATCAACTCTCGGCTCTGACTTGTTCTTTGGGCCACAGCCGGCGTCCGCTGGCGCACCAAAAAGGACCACTTCTAAATTGTCCACGCTTTCGTGGTGCGGTTCGGGGGCCGATACTTCGGCCCTTGGAATTAGCCCGGCGATCGCCTCCCCAATTAACGGGACCTGTGTAAACTAAGTAAAGTAAGTTGAGAGACCAAGTCTGGCCCGAGATATCAAGTTTGAATGGCAGTTCTGCGAACATAAATGAATGTGTGGTAGAGAGAAGTAAGGGAAAGCTGGAGGGTTGGAGGCGGAATAACTTGGAACACGCGGAATGAAAACATTTTACAATAACATTGAACACCGCGAGAAGGGCGGTAGAACTTGACAAATTGTTTGTAAAAACCGGACTTCGTAATGAAGGATAACGAAGAACTTGCTAACTCTTGCTGTAATCCCGATTAAAAGAGAATGCTTCAGGCATAAATGTGTCTGTTACATTGTTTGAAGTACCGGACCGCGAGCCCGTCATTTTGACGCGATGAGTCCAACGCCCATTATTTTTGTTCATTTTTCTTTCCATTTTGATTTTTGGAGCACATAGAATAAGAGCTTTATGGGCCCCACATGAAATGAAAAATTGACGTGACGTGGTATGTTCAGTGACTTGCAATAACTATTGGCATGATGGGTTGATTAGATAGTGTCATGGTGATATGCTTGGCGCTGCTGCAAGTGAGCAGTGGGTGCACCACGCAGCACTTTGATTTCACAATCAGCGTACATACAAATTATTATATGCTAGGGTATGCGACCCTTTATATCGCTAACTGTTACCCTAATTCACCCTTAATCCAAGAGGCTAACAATCCCAGCTGAGCGCTCAATTCCGCAGTGGCAAACAAAAATTAAGTACTAAATTACGCTGTAATGCGACAAATGTTCTGATTCCCCTCGGAGGTGAAGTATTAGCATTAGATTTTAACAAGCACTTACCATGCACAGCACCCAAAAGTAAAGTCATGAGCTCCATGTTAGGTGCAAATGCTGCTAGCATGAGACTTGTCCACAGTAGAACGCTGCCGACGAGAGAAATTTGGAAAATGCTCAGGAAGCGCTGGAGTAACGAAACAATGAGGCCTGAAAATTAAGATTCACATAATAAGTACCTGCATTTCTGTAATTATAAAGAGTGTTAAAAAATAAGCTTTATGACCTTGTGGAACTTCAGCGCTTGAATGTCCACGAAAACCACCCTTGTAGATAAACTATATATCCAATTATGTATCCAGTGACGTATACAAAGTGCGACAATAATCAACACTGTCAGCCACCCCATTAACTAAGATTGAGTAAACAACTTTTTAGGTCACAGCATCAGACGAGCTTATTTGTCTGTGTTCAGAAGTTGGAGACAATTGTATCTCTCTACCCAGTTCCACTTGAAAAAAAATTGTCTAGCTTGTCTGGGCGCCGATATACGCCACTGCCAAATTTAATTGCGGTTTTCATCACTACGCCACGCAAGACGGTGATGATTGGTTCCTTCCTGATAATAAAATCATTTATTGCTTTTTTATCACCACCAGATAGTAGAATAAATAGAACCGCTATCAGCCTTCGACCCGTTGTCAGATCAAACACCCCATGTAAATGCCGTGACATATCGGGGAGGAGCTCTGCGCCACTGCTCACTATCTTGCATGCGAATCATGCTAACCGCATTCATATTTTGCACTAGCATGTCTCGCAGCACAAGGAAGAATTCGTCCACGTAGATCTGCCTCCAACTTTTCATTACAAACGTAACCTGTAGCTGCAGTCACTAAAAAGATGATTATTCAATCATATATCGGGGAGGAGCTTTGCGCCTCTGCTCACCGTTTTGCATGCGAATCATGCTAACCGCACTCATATTTTGCACTAGCATGTCTCGCAGCACAAAGAAGAATTCGTTCACGTAGATCTGCCTCCAACTTTTCATTACAAATATAACTTGTAGCTGCAGTCACTAAAAAGATGATTATTCAATCATGCTTATTGGACAGCACAACCCTTCAGAGCACAGGGATCCAAAGCGTGCTGCTGCATGCACTCGTCTTTGACTGAATAATCGTGTCTCGTTGGTACATTTGGACAAGTGCTGCTTAGCTTTTTGAGTCATCAGATCTGACTGGTCTCGTGAACCTTGACTGATTCCTGTAAAATATTGTGCCTGCTTATCCTCAGTAGCTTTCCTATCAACACATTGAGGGCTAGACCCAGTTTAAGCTTGTGCGCTTTTCGTATCAGAAGCTGGTCTTCTTAGTTTGACAGAGTGTAGGATATGTTGGTAATTCGTTTTACCAACATGCTCTCTTTCACTGTTGAAGCTTCATTAGCGGTAGGTGGTATGTTTTTCTCTTGATAATCACAAGGCGTTTATTGTGAATGTATCGAACTTCTTGATCAGTACATCGTTCCTTCGCACCTTGTGTATGACATGCGCAAAACTTCCTGGGGACACAAACAGCGACGACACTGGTACCGCTTCGAAAAAAAGTTATGTGTGCGTCTCTCGCGGCTTCTGTTATCAGTCTAAGAGGTGTTTTCGCAACACTCTGTTGTAATTGTTCCTCTATATATGTTATGGAGCCTTTTTATCACTTGGTGTCGACCGGTGACGGCATTGGACTGCTTGTACAGTAATGCATTTTGAGTGGTTGTCTCGGTTGCTGAAAGTTTCCTACAAACGATTGCACGGCTGACGACCAGTGTAGTCCCACTCATCTGGCTTTTGCGTTCTTCTGTCGGAAGACCGCGGCAATGCTACTGTTTATTGTAATATAGATTGATAAAGGTATGGTAAACTTCGGTGAGCTTCAGAATTGTTAGCAGTTTGATTTTTTTGATATATTTGAAACTATCGGTTGTATCTCTTACTATCAATATTAGTACTGACCTCAAGTAGGAGCTTTTCCTAAAGCAGGGGTGCCTAAGGAAGGGTTCCTGCCTTTCGTGTCTGTTGACGAATCAGTCGCTAAATTCGTAAGCGCTGCACTTAGGCACCCTAAGCTTGCCCCATGCGTAGCTAGTACGTAGCTGTAAACATCGGTCTACCAGTGTACGTTTTTAGATGTGAGGAGCATGCAAGATCTCAGAAAAGTTAGAGTCAGGAATCCAAATGGCTCATTGTATATGCTCTACCTACATTTTTCATGGCCGGTGATGTGGAATATTTCTCAGGCATGAAAATAATTGTTCACAAGTAATGGTCATTCGACTAGTAAAACGCTGGACCGTATGCAGTACGATACGCAACCACAGGATACGTCATTTTATCGGTTTGCTGATCTGAACACACTTCTTGAAGTTCAAAGAATTGCATTCAGTCTGGCTCAAAATACGTGGTTAAAGCCTCCTTCAGAAGTTGTAGAAAAGCGTATTGCTTTTTAAAACCGAGAGAAAGTTCGGGCTGTGATAAATGTCCCGCCCACCTGCGCAGTTAAGCATCGCAGCCATTGTGCTGGCCGACCAATATGCAGCTTCGTGGCTGACCCTGAACGTGTCCACGAAGTAGACGTAGAAAAGGCCCGAGGTACCAAACACACTCGTGGCAAACAGGACGATAAGAGATCCCACCACTGCAACGCGCCAAGGGGCGTTGGTCTGGTTGACCTTACGCCGCTTCTGGGTTGGTGGCTCATTGTCCATGTGACGTAGCGCATTATGTGGCTCTCTAAATGGTGGCACTGAACGAAAAAAGAGAAGCCATTACGATTTTGCCTTTTCCCGGCACATCATCACACGACAGTCATTAGGACCAGGGCCGTGGAAGATTAGGTCTGTCAGTTCTGTATGTGTCACCGGTCTGCGTGGACTGTGTTGCTCTGTACAGATGTGGATGGCACTGAACAGAACCCATGCAATAAAGCGCACTACAGCAACCGATTATATAACCAGCTCTGACTATAGTACTAAGACCGTAGATCAATCAGGTTGACTGACAAAAAAAAAGCTTTGATAGTTACTTTTTTACTATCGCCATAAGACAGGAATGATGATAACATTATAAAGAGCCGTTAGAATTTCTACCGCTGCTTCAGAATCCTAAAAACAATGACTATTTTTTATTTCTACACAGCTTCTCAGGGTTCAATAATGCCCAGTAGTAGACGAGAGAAGCTAAAGCCCTTTGAAACTATCTATAGATAGTTTCAAAGAGCCGTACACTTTCTGAGTCTGCAAAAAGTATAATAATGTCAGTAAATGCAACAAGTATAGTAATGTTAATGATTTCGGTGGTTTAACGTGCAAAATCACAATATGAGTCATGTTGGAAAACGTAGCCATCAAAATAGCATTTCTCCAAAATCAGGCTGTGAAAATGCAGAGACTTTCTGCGGCGTGCTCGAAGCCGGAAATTTGAGTTGTGCGGAGGCATCACTTACTGGTGGAGGGGGCAGCAAGGGTGGAGCGCTGACTTCGCAGACTGTGAACCGTGAAAGCTCGTTAATTGAAATTTCATAAGACCGAAACAACATCTCCAAATTAAGCGCATGCCGATTTACGGAAAGTATTAAAAATATTATACGTCTGTTGCAACGATGTGTTCTCATTTTCTTGGTTGATACATAAATCCTGCGTTTTTTTGCATAAGGGCAGTGTGAAAATCTAAATTTGCACAAATGCAACAACGACCAGATACTGTTACGTTTAATTAGCCCGAAACGCGCTCAAGGCCTTTGCCTTATAACGTACCACCACGGACACCGTGCGTCTTCCCATGTGATGTCGACGGTTCCTTCACAAGTGAAACTGCCCGCAACGGATAGTTCACGTATCGCAATGTAACAAACAAGCTTTATGCATCTTCATACTGAGCCGCCGCTGAACACACTTCATTTCTCAACAGATTTCGCCATCATTTAGGATAAGCGTGTTTCCGGCAACTGCTTCAAAAGACACACACACGAATCCCGGCTGCAGCGGCTGCATTTCCGATGGGCGGAAATGTAGGCCCGTGTGCTCAGATTTTGGTGCACGTTAAAGAACCCCAGGTGGTCGAAATTTTCGGAGCCCTTGATTATGGCGTCTCTCATAATCATATGGTGGTTTTGGGACGTTAAACCCCACATGGCAATCAATCAATCAATCAATCAATCAACATGCACACACGCTGACACACACAAACCGCCGTGGCGCTCTTGTGGCTAAGGTACTCGGCTGCTGACTAGCAGGTCTTGGGATCAAATCCTAGTTGCAGCGGCTGCATCGATGGAAGCGAAAATGTTGTAGGCGTGTGTGCTCAGATTTGGGTGAACCACGTTAAAGAACCCCAGGTGGTCGAAATTTCCCGAGCCCTCCACTACGGCGTTTCTCATAATCATATGGTGGTTTTGGGAAGTAAAACCCCATATATCAATGAATCAATAAATCAACACACATAAGAAACCAATTGCACAGAGTAAAACTGAGTCCACCGGCAACTAAGCAGCGCGCTATGGTCCTCCACATCGTGGTGTAGAGTCGATAAAGTCGTACATAATGTTAAGAAAGATAAATAGTTCACCTGAGGGCACTTTTTTGGGCTACAAAACATTAAACACATGCGCCCTCGGTTCGCTGGGGCCGGGTGCGCACGGCCATAAACATCACTGCCTCTGTTGACATCGTAGGAGAGACCACACCAGCGGTACCGAGCAGGCCAAGTCGGCCTCGAATCTATCAAGTGGCCATCGTGCGCTCCGTTTGTCAGCTGCGAATGCCTTTGTGTTCGTTAGATTATTTTCCTTAAACTTCCAAAACTGCCCGTGTCAATTTGGCACCATTTTTTAGTATAGCAGGTACTCTTAGTAGTAATTGTATTGTAAATGCGAAGAAACAAAAGTGCAGAAGAAGATAACTTGCCGCTGGCGGGGACCAACCTGTGGCCCTTGAATAACGCGTCTGATTCTCTACCACTTCAGCGGTGGTCATTCGTCGACTTTCATCATCATCATCCTGACTACGTCCACTGCAGGACAAAGGCCTCTTTCATGTTCCGCCGTCGACGTTATATGGTATAAATGTGCATTTAAAGCTGGTTGTGCCGGTTAGAGGCGCCCGTAGCCATTACGCTGAGTGTTGAACGCTCTTTTTGCTTGTTGACGTGACGCCAACAGGTAGTATAGATGATAACATACGTATAGGGTGCCTTCAGTTAGTATGAGAGGGGTCATTGGCCAACTGCCAGCGCGTAGTAAGATCACGTTCTATATGACGCCAACAGGCGAAAAAGAGTGTTCCACATTCGTCGTAACGGCTATTGACGGTGCTAACTGACACAACCACGCTTCAGTGCAAATATACAACAACAACAACTACTTCTACTACTACTACTAGTGTTATTATCAATGATAATAATAATAATAATAATAATATAATAATAATAATAATAATAATAATATAATAATAATAATAATAGGCCCATGCACTTGGTGAAGCGCAGCTCAACAAATCATTATAAAGGGCACATTTTCAGCCTCCACCTTTCCAAGGTCACCAAAAAAGCTCGCATGGCCATTTATTATTTTCTTAGAATGACCCGAAGGCCTCACATGACGGAACCGACAGCCGCCGCCAAATGTAAAAACCTGTTCATGCAACAAGCGAACGCAGGAGAGTGGAGAGTAAAAAAAATGCACGGGAAAAAATAACAATACCGGCTCAGGGATGTACGGCTCATTATCTTATCTGTCATATGTTGGTGAAATGGAAATGAAAACAGTTCCAATTTTATTCAAAGAAAGATATTGTTTTGAAATATTTGTTAATGGCCCCTCGGAAATGTCACGTCCATGGTCCAAACTTTTCGCTCATTCGACGAGGAGCCCAAAAATGTAAATTGCCATACATCTTATGCTTCATTACCCTACAAAGGAGAATTGCACTACCACCTTATTGTCCCACGCTGCCCCAAGATTTCGGGAAAAAACGGTTGGCAATCCTGATAGTGTGCCCTGCGTGCAGCGTGCGTTTGGTTACGCCCCACTATAAGAAAGGCACGACTGCTTGAGTAGATGAAATAGGCCACAAGCGTTTGCTTACCCAGCAAGAAAACCCTTTAATACTTTCTGACACATGTCCAATCCTTATATTGTGTTACACACTCTAACTTTGAACAACTGCAAGTATCAGTTTTCACTGAAAATTGTGGTGTTTCTACAGCTGCTTTTATTTTTTTAGCGGGGAAGGGAGGGGGGCTACATTTGGTGTACTAAATGTAGACATTGTGGGATAATCAGGGTGAACAGTGGAAGTGTCTCAGACAGGCTGGCTGACGTTTCGATAGGAGAACCTATCTTTGTCAAATGCACCTTGTCATCGATGGCGTGTTAACCTCAAGGGGGTCAGTACTTAAAACTAACACAAGTATGACAATGTGCCTTTGTCAAAGATATGTCCTCCTGTCAAAACGTCAGCCAGCCTGTCTGAGACACTTCCACTGTTCACCCCGGTGTTCCAAGTACATGTTTCTATCTGTCGGCTTCCATCTAGATTCTGGTTTTAAATGTAGACATTAGATTTTTGGACAAAAGTGTTATTGTATGAAAACTAGGAATCCACATTGGTTGAAATCTTGGCGTTTTGCACATATAGTTTCTGATCTATACCTTAGCAAAACTGACGAACCTTTCAAGACGCCCTGTGCGGCTGTATTATTAGGATATTTTGCTATCTTGCCATTTACTCAATTTTTATAGCACAGTGAACAACTTGAATCCATGGTTACCTCAGTGAGCAAACAAACTAACGTCACGTCAAGATGGTTGAAGTTTACTGGATAATTGTATTGGACGCGTTGTAATACAAAGTATACACATTTATTTGACGTTTAGGGGAACCACGTATTCTTGAAATATTTTCATATGTATTCAAAAGAGCTAGTAAAGTTTTAGTTCAGGGCTTCCAAGGATGTACAGAAATGTAAATATTGTCATGCGTAAAATACTCTCTCACCAGAGCGTATCTGCTCGAGATGAGCACCAGCTTTAATGCTTAGACCACGCGTTTATTTGACGTATATGTTGTCCTCGTGGTTCCGCAGTCAACATCAACGGATGCTTAAATGGTGAATACCTCCATGGCTTACTTGATAGGCCAAAGAAAGTGGAAAGTAGAAAAGGTGTTAACGTCGGCTACGAGACTGGCACGATATATGCAAAATATGAGCTGTCACGCTCAAAATGAGTGGGTGCTAGAGAAAATGCGAACAGACATTGTGCAATACACGAAACACACGAATAGCAGTAGAATGCGCAGTTAAGATCACGGCGTAAATGTAGAAGCATGCGGTTAACTTCCTAATTACGTTCCCGAGATGGGCATGCCTACAACATATGTCAACGTCGCAAGTTCGGTCGCGGTCATGGTCGTCGCATTTCGATGGAGGCGAGATGGTAGAGAACCGTGTGCTACGCCATGTCAGTGAACGTTACACAACGTCAGATGGTCAGAATTTCTGGAGAGCTCCAGTGTAGAGTTGCTCGTAATATTATCATGGTGTTGGGACATTAAATCCCAGATAATATTGTTGCACATGTCGACGTACTCTTACACTTCGCTAAGTGAACTTGAATAAAAAGTGTAAAGTACACCCCTTACCTTCAGAAATAGTGTCCACGAAGGCAGCGTTGTTCATGTCTCATATCGAAGGCCAACTTGCGTACAATATTATTCCCCACTGGACAGATATGAAGGTCGAGCAACCGCGCGCTTTCAACAGCTGTTTGGCGACGAGGGAGTACCTCGTGACGCTTTCAATGCTTTCTGCTGCGAAGGAATCTGTAGTGGCTGGAGGAAAATAACACGCAGCAGCGCAACGGCGAGGAATCAAGTCAATTAGGCTAGCTCAGGAAAGAAGTGAAAAACAAGTCATAGCTTTAAGTGCAATCCACCGCATTCCAAGAAGCTGTAGCCATGTGAATAGCAAGCTCGGGTAAAACCTCAGTTA